TTTAATTGAATCTTTTAATTTTATAAAGTATTTTTTTAGTTCTCTAATCCTAACACCATTTGTTTCAATTATTATTATTTTTTAAAAAAATTAAACTTAATTTGTCAAAATTTAAAAATAGTTTGTTAATATTTAAAAATTCAATATAAAAATATTTTGTGATGAAACTAATGGTGTTATAGTTAAAAAATTAAAAAGACACTTTATAAAATTAAGAGAACAAAATAAAACATGATTTAAAGTTAAAAGATTAAAGAAATACTTAGCTTTAATTCCTTGGTAACATGTTACTAAGAAAATAAGGAGAATAATTTTTTTATATAAAAATAAGGAGAATAATTCACAAAATTGTGTATTTTTTTTCCTTAATAGGTGAAATTCCTCCCCCTATTTTCAACATGTCTTCTTTGAGAACGATACAACTTAGCGCCAACCAGTTGCACGGTCATCTGCCAGAAGATATATGTAATCATCTTCCTTTGCTTGAAACTTTGGGCCTATCTAGAAATCAATTTGAGGGGAACATTCCAAGATCAATGGGCAATTGCACATCCTTGAAGCTAATATTATTGTCAAGCAATTCATTTTCTGGTATGACCATGTCCATTTATACTTGATACTATGTGCTTTGTAAGTTTATCTTCTTCAATTCTACGTTTAGTTACTTTCTATTTCAACAATACATAGAAATACATAGTTGTAAACATAAAAGAATAATTTATTTTTGAACTTGAAAACATGTTTTGGTCCTGATAAATCCTTAAGACAAAAAAAGAAATCATTTAGTTTGTGTTTTACAGTTCTATACCCAAGGAGATAGGCAATCTTGGTAAACTTGAGGAACTAGAGATGATGGGTAACTGCTTGAGTGGGTCTATTCCTTCAAAAATATTCAACATGTCGACATTGAGAAGCTTAAAACTTCTGTATAATTCGCTCTCAGGCCTTCTCCCAACAAATTTAGTAAGTGGACTTCCCAACTTGGAGGAATTGCAACTATCACAGAATAAATTTAGAGGAGAAATTCCTAGGAGCATATCAAATGCTTCTAAGCTCACTGAATTATCTCTATGGAGCAATGAATTGAGTGGGGCTATACCCAACACATTTTGGAATATATCCAATCTAATTCTATTAGATATCCATGGGAATTATTTGGGTGGGTTGATTCCTAGCACAATTAATAAATTACAGAGTCTTCAATACTTGGACCTTAGTGACAACAGATTGCATGGATCCATCATAGATGAGCTTTGTGAGATCAAATCTTTGAGTTACTTGTTTTTAAGCAAAAACATGTTTTCAGGATCAATTCCAAGGTGCTTTGGGAATCTCACTTCTTTGCGAAAATTGAACTTGAGCTTTAACAATTTGACTTCTCATGTACCCTCTTCCCTTTGGAGCCTCAAAGATGTTATGGAGTTAGATTTATCTTCCAATTCATTGAGTGGAAAAATTTCACTTGAGTTTTCCAACTTGAGAGCACTTACATTATTGAACTTGGCAACAAATCAAATATCTGGGAACATTCCTGATACAATTGGGGCCTTGCAAACTTTGCAAAACCTATCTTTAAGAGATAACAAATTGCAAGGGCCTATTCCTGAATCACTTGGTAGCATTGAAAGTATGGAGTTCTTGGATCTTTCACGAAATTATTTGACTGGTGTGATTCCAAAGTCCTTACAGTCACTTGCCCATCTTAAATACATCAATCTCTCTTACAATTCACTACAAGGTGAAATTCCAGATGGAGGGCCTTTTCAAAACTTCACTGCTGAATCTTTTATGATGAATAAATATCTTTGTGGGAGGCCCCAACTACAAGTTCATCCATGTAAGAAAGGAAACAAGCATATGCTAACTAAAACAATGCTTTTAATCTTGCTGCCTATCATTTTTGCAATCATTTTGGTTGTTTCATATGTAGTATTTGTGAAGCGTAAGAGAGGTTATGTTAGTGAAATGGTCAAGAGAGGTTTCTTAAACTTGGACACGATGATTAAGGTATCCTATTATGAACTTTTGCAAGGAACAAATAGATTTGATGAAAGTAATCTTCTTGGAAGGGGAAGTTTTGGATCAGTATACAAAGGAATTCTTTCACGTGGAGAAATAGTTGCTGTTAAAGTATTTAACTTAGACTTAGAAGCAGCAGCAAAAAGTTTTGAAGCTGAGTGTGCTGCCTTATGCAACTTACGTCATCGCAATCTCGTTAAGATCATCAGTTGTTGTTCAAATGATGATTTTAAGTCCTTAATAATGGAGTTTATGCCAAATGGGAGTCTTGATAGATGGTTATACTCTCATAACTATTGCTTGAATATCTTGCAAAGGTTAAATATAATGATTGATGTAGGTTCTGCATTAGAGTACCTTCATCATGGTTCTTCAAACACCGGTGGTTCATTGTGATTTGAAATCAAGAAACATTTTATTGGATGAAGATATGGTAGCCCATCTTGGTGATTTTGGCATTGCTAAATTGCTAGGTGAACAAACAGAAGTTTATACCAAAACTTTGGCTACACTTGGTTATATGGCACCAGGCAAAGATTTAATGATTATACTATATTTTATTTAATTTTATATGTTTTTATTTATTTTATATATGTTCACTCAATAACATGTAGAATATGGATCAAGAGGAGTTGTTTCTGTGAAGGGAGATGTATATAGCTTTGGTATTCTGCTCATGGAAATGCTTACAAGGAAGAAGCCAACAGATGACATCTTTGTTGAAGGTTTAAGTTTGATAGATTGGATTAGCAAATCAATACCTCATTCAGTTATTAACATTTTAGATGCCAATTTGTTATCAAATGACAACCAATATATTGGTGATATGTTACCGCACATATCATCAATTTTTGAATTAGCTTTAAATTGCTGTGTTGATTTACCCGAAGCACGTCTTGACATGACTGATGTTGTGGTGACATTGAAAAAAATCAAGGTCATCATGTTTAGGCACAGAGGTAGAGGCACTCATAAGGACCACTAGCTAATTGATAAATCCAACTCTAGCTCTTGGTTCCTTACTCCTTTTGTTTGTTTTATTATTTACATGTAATCTTGTAAAATGGAATGATGATCTTTTCTGCATTAATATTTGAAATATTTAAATTTTGAGAATCTACAATTTATTTATCTAGGTTTTGAATATCTAAGTTTGTTTTTTTGTTTAATGTGTTCCAGCTATTTTTTTTTTGTTGGGACCAGCATTTCAACTATATTTGAATAATAAGAATTACAACTTAGCCATCATGGAATCCATTATTTTCCACTTTTTAATGTTGGAAAATAGTTACACCCTCCAATTCTTAGTGCAAGGCATAAGTAACTTAACTTCATGCTCATTAAAAATGTTAGTCACAACTTTGAAAAATGTAAAAAAAATGTAATTTTATAATTTTTCCTTCTTTGTAATTAATAACTATAATAAATTGTTATTTAGAAATTTAAATGAAAATAAATAAATAAGGGATAAAATTTAAAAAATATTAATTACTCTAATTTTACATTATATAAGAACCCAAAAAAACTTCCAAAATTTGTCTAAGATTGGAGGGAGTACAATGTACTGAACATAATCTAGCATTAGTGAAATGCAAGTTGATCAAGGTTTTAACAAAGTTCACTTCATATTGTAACAAAGTCATCAAAATTATGTTTATAATAAAGTCATCAAATTAAATATGTAGAAGATATTGGATAACAAGTTTTGTCAATGGATTGACAACTAACACACAATTTGATGATTAAATATAATATTATTAAGAGGCATCATGAGCTTAGTGGCTATTAAGTTTTTTGTAGTCTAGTCACAAGAACTCCAACAATAGTAGATGGAAATTTTTTTTTTAATAATTAACAGGCATTTTGGCCATTTCTCTTTAAAATATAATCTCAACTTAATCCTTAAACCTTGCGCTGTAATTAATAACTTGGTCTCAGTAAAAGTGTAATTCAATAAGTACGGCATTATAACACTTAACCAAGTAGTATTTATCTTTAGGAAAATAACAATTAGGGGCCCAAAAAAGTATTAATGATAAGGACCAACCTGAATTAAATAACGAATCAATAAAAAAAAAGATTTAACTTTTTACTTGTAATAAATTATTTTTGTTGAGTGATTTAAAATTTACAACAATCTTTAGTAAATTGACAATTAATGTTATAAAGATTTCTAAATATTTTTGTTGATTTCACAAATGATGGCAAAAAAAAAATACAAATGATTAGTTTGTTATTCACAATTGACCCTCCTAAATCCCTAACTGATGTTACAAATATTCCTAAATGTATTTCATAAGTTTTTCAAGCGACTTATTTATATACTGACAATAACAAAAATTATAAGTGATTGGCTTGAGTTCACAACTAATTTTATAAATTCTCAACTAACAATATAAATAATTTCAAAGTATATTTTCTTGATTTCTCTAGTTTTTTATTTATATTGAAAGAAAAAAAATTAAAATTTATAATTGATTCTCATAAATTTTTAATTGACATTACAAATAATTTTGAATGTATTTTGTTAATATCCAAACTAACTATTCATATTTTTTTGGTTGTAAACAAGGATCATAGTTTATTATTAAAATTTTAATAATTCAGGATCTATAATTATCATTAACGTTTTTATAGGATCTTTAATTGTCATTTTTCCTTTATCTTGGCCTAAATACATTCTTCCTCCATCTCAAATTATAAGATACTTTTAAATAAAATCTTACATATTAATAAATCTTATTAAATATACTTAATAATTTTATTTTTTAAAAATAAAAATATAAACTTTCTAAAACACCCTTCATTTAACATATTAAAAAAAGAGATGGACTGAAGTTAAATAGAAAAAGAAAGAATAATATTAAAATAATTTAATTAATAAAATTTTAATTTTTTAAAGTATTTTATATTTTAAAATATTTTATCCCTTATAAAAGTATTTTATAGTTTGTGACATGATAATGCTGTCAATGTAAAAAAGTCCTACAAATTACAAGCGGTCTGTCTCTACCTCCCTGAGCCGCATCAAGGTCGGCCCAGAACGAACAGCGCCAATGGCGTCTCGCTCCCTGGCCTTCACTCTCAGATGGTAAGCAATACTGCTAACACTGAGCACTCTATATTTTGAGACTCTGGTTGGTTCTTGAGAAGAAGACGATGAATGAAGAATAATTTACAATTTCCCTGGCTTTTCATCGATGCATCTATCCGATTTCGAAGCTTTTGTTTTCTTTTGTTTCCTTTTCTCCCAATTCATATTTCACCGACCTGAGTCTTCTAATCTTCAGGCTTAGCAATATGCGAGCTCAAAGCTTCTTAGCTTATATTGTCTGATTAAAATTTCTAATTCACCAAGCTTATTGGAATGGTTCTCTAGATTCCCTGTCTAACTCCCCCAGCTGGGCGTTTGTTATAGGAGATTTGGAAATAGTGGGTTTACCAACGGCAATTATCGTTCGCTATCTATCCTCAGTAGAGCGAATCTCTCTAGATTTCTCTCTTCGCGAGCGTTGGGAACTGATTTTGTGGAAGAGCCTTCGAACTTTTCCGAAGTTGAGGACGATCTGAGGAACAGATTGTTCAGGCTAAGGCTACCAAAGCGAAGCGCCACAAATGTTCTTCAGAAATGGGTCAGCGAAGGGAATCATATTTCGGTGTCCGAACTACGGGATATTTCCAGAGAACTCAGAAAATCTCAACGTTACAAACACGCATTGGAGGTATGGTTGTTAGTTTTGAACGAAGGGTCAACACACCCACCCTAAGGCCTTGGTATGGGTCCAAGGCTATTGTAAGATCCGGGCACAAATCTTGTACCGCATCACGTTAACTTCCTTCAGTGGATATTCTTGAAACTGCCTGATTTATTACATTTTATGTTTCACTATCTAGTTTTATTACATATGTTATCATTAAAAAGATTTCAGATGGTATTCTGGAAACTTCGACAGCCAAACTTGAATTTTTAAGTGGTCTTTTTTTTTTTTTTTATTTATGAGCAAAACCTTAAATTTTTAAGTGGTCTTTTTTTTTTGGGTGGAGTACCACATTTGATGAGATTGAAGAAGAAGGCAATATTGCCGATCTGAATTCGTGACTTGGCAAGAGATAGCAATGTGCCGTGACCAGCAAACCCCTAGTCCGATGGCAATTTTAAGTTGTCTTTAATTAGTATAGTTGAGTTATGCTATCTTGTATTCATCTTAATCCTCCCATATCTAATTGGTCTGACATTTGGTCTTTTCCCTCTATGTATCAGTGTATATGTTGATGCTGTTTTCTGGAGAAAATGAGATAGTAATGTTTTAGGATCTCAGAGTCAGTAATTTGTATTCTTTTCTTGTTTTATGGCATATTGTGGATTCTAATTGTTACCTTTCTTTATGAAGGGTTGGTTAAGCTATGACCTAAATTTTACAACTTCCACTTTTTACTTTGGGTACAAAAATTTTGCTTTTCCATTAGTTCAACATTGTAGCTACCATGGTTATCAATTTATGTCATGCCCTTCCTCCTCTGCAGTCCCTTGGCAGGAACTATAAATATGACCGAATTGTCATGGCTGACTCTTATATGCTAGATGGTCCATGTGTAACCCAAGAAAGAACACTTTTCTCCTCCACTTGTTGGTCTTCCAAGGATATGGCATGTTAGGCTCCATATCTCCATGGTTATAGCTTTTATCATGTCTAAACTTCTAAGTTGTCTGAGTCCTGCAGGTGGGGAAACCATAAGAAGAATGACAGCACCACAGAGAAAGGGAGTATATGAGTCAATTCTATAACTATCACGAGGGGCAAGAATTTTAGAAATATGATAAAGTTGATGACTAGCTATCAAAAACCCAAAAAGGAGAAAGAAAAAAAAAAACAGGAAAAAGGACATCTTTGTAATAGCTGATTTGTCTCTGTGGCATGCGCTCTTCCATGCATAATCTTTGTTTTTCTCCGCCTCAAACCCTCCAGAGGATGGTGGTTAAGGGCTGGGTTTTCTGGTATTTTACAAATTTTAGCTGTGTCGACTAATTCTCCTTCAACGTGAATGCTGTCCTTTGAAAGCAAGGTGTGAGGGAACAATAGAAGCTGATGATGCAAATAACTTACATTTTCTATTGTTTATTTATGAGTTATAGTTTGTCTCTTTCTCATCCCCTTCCTCATTCCTGTAAGGAAAGATCAATTTCAGTGTGATCATTCTTGGTTGTTTGATCTGAAACACCCATAAATCATCACTTTTATGTATATTTTGATCTGTCATACCCATAAAAATAACTATCGGAACCCATACTCAAAATTCAGTAATATCATTGCATCAATTGATGTTTGGAAAATTGATATTACAATGTTTAAGAGGCTATGGTGCATTGCTCAACTCAGGAATAGTTCTCTTTTCATGATTGCTAGATGTCCTGAAGTCCAACTTGGCAATTGGAGATCACAGCTTCGATTCTTTATAACGTTTTAGTTTTTGGAAGCTGATCTGAATGCCCGTTGACTGAATAATTATTGACTATCAATTATTGCAGATATCTGAATGGATGGTCACCCATGAAGAATACGAGTTATCAGACTCCGATTATGCAGTCCGCATAGACTTGATGACCAAAGTTTTTGGCATTGATGCTGCAGAGCGCTATTTTGAGGGCCTACCTCTTTCTGCAAAGACAAGTGAAACCTACACTGCCCTCCTTCATTCTTATGCAGGAGCAAAATTCACTGAAAAGGCTGAGGAGCTTTATCAAAGGATAAAGAATTCAAACCTCTCCTTTAATGCCCTGATGTACAATGAAATGATGACTCTCTACATGTCAGTTGGGCAGGTTGAAAAGGTCCCATTTATTGTTGAAGATCTGAAACAGCAGAAGGTTTTACCAGATATCTTCACTTACAATTTGTGGATTAGTTCTTGTGCTGCTACTCTTAATATTGATGAAGTTAGAAGGATACTTGATGAAATGAGTCACGCTGGTTCTAATGAAAGTTGGAAAAGATACGCTGACCTTGCCAATATATATGTTACTGTAGGACATCTTGATAATGCAGGCGCCAACTCACTTGTTGAACCTGAGAAAGGACGACACAGAGAGAATGGATTACCTATGACTTCCTGATCATACTATATGCTGGGTTGGGAAGTAAGGATAAAATTGATCAGATATGGAAATCCCTTAGAATGACTAAACAGAAAATGATTAGCAGGAATTATATCTGTATTCTGTCTTCATATCTGATGCTAGGCCACATGAAAGAAGCAGCAGAAGTTATTGAGCAATGGACGCGATCTACGAACACAGATTTTGACATGCTTGCCTGTGAAAAACTTGTGGGTGCATTTACAGACATGGGGTTGGCTGAAATAGCGGACAACTTCAATAGGATTCTCATTCAGAAAAGCCTTAATGCAGAAAATAATTGACTATATAGTTCTGTTGACATCAATAAATGTGATCTGAGCATCAAACAGTTACAGTTTTCACATTAATTTTACGCTGACATGAAGAAGAGAATATATTTATATGTTATTTCATTTGTAGTTCATTGATCCATCCCTAGCATGTACCCTACAGGTTTGATGGAAGTTTTGCATTGAATTGTGGAAATGTAAGATTCCATTTCTCCTCAATTTTATGTAGCTGCTGATAGTCACCTTTCATGTGAAGAGCCTTCAGATTTTACTTATTTTGGTCATTCTTGTGATCATACAGAAGTAGTTTTCAGAATTATTTCAATGGATTTAATGCATCTTTCCTTTTTCTGCCTCCATTGATGACTGGAAATGGATCCTCTGCAGGTAGTTTCTTGCAGTTCTGTCTCCAGTCAAATCGGAAGCGTCCAATTTATTGCATGGCTAAAGGAAAAGTGGGAATTTATATCTCAAAATACAGCGCTGGCTTTTGTTACTGTAAGATTTTTTTTTTTTTTTTGGTGTATTAGTCATGCAGAAAAATATTTCTTAAAAAAGAAAATGAAAAATGTATCTAGATAAAAAAATGAAATGGGTATTTTTTTATTTTTTTTAAAAAAAATTTTTTATAGCATAAGGTGTCGGCTTTGTCAATAGTAGAGATTGTCTGCTAAAGATGTTCATGCTTGTCCCATCCCAGTCGGCCTGGTTTTGTCTTAATTATATCGAGATGGATTTGTGAAAAAAAAGGGGGGGGAATGGAACTCAGGATCATCATTAATTATATTATATTATATTATATTATTGTATTTATTTTATTAATATTTAATACTTTATTTATTCAGTTGGAACTAAATTATATCTTTTTTGTTTATTTATTTTATGTTCTTTTAACTTACCATCTGCTCCCTTCAGATATGTAACTTAATGATTATATTATTGTTATAGTATTTGTGACCTACAGATCAGTTGTAGTTATTGTGCATTTGACTTTAAGTTGGGACCATATTCTTTTACTTTAAATTGTAGTTACTATAATTCAAAGATTGAATTTATATACCTATATTGTTTTGGTTTTCAAATTCGATGAATATTATTTATCTGGATCTCTCTTTCACATTTTTTTGTTTTATTAGGATGGGACAATTTTCAGTACATGATGAGACATTAAGGGGGAAAAAAATCAATCATGTTCATTTTCGGGATGGGAAATGGGATACTCTTACTACTCATGTCAGCTTTAGCTAAATCTCCTCCTTCAGTATAGCAGGGAACAACATTTGTATTCAGTTATTATTTCTTGGGCTCAATTGCTTTTGTGTAGGGACTGGGTTATTTCTTTGAGAAAATATGTATAAGTCTCATAAAAGCAACTTATCTAAATATAAAGTCTCATGAAATTCAAAAACTATAATCAAATCTCTCAAGATCTGAGTGTAATGTAAAGTTGGGTTGAAAAAAATACTTTTACCCTTTAAATATAAACAGTAGATTGAAAGAATATTTATTATTCACTTATAAATGTAACTTTATAATTTATGAGTATAACTTCTTAATTCATATATCATATTTCGTGTTTTATAAATAGTAGATTAAAACTGTATTTACTATTTACTTACAATTGTAATTTCATAATTTATGAATAAAACTTTTTAATTTACAAATTTTTTTTTTGTGTTTTATGAACAGTAGATTGAAATTGTATTTACCATTCATTTAATTTACAAGACCTATTTCATGTTTTATAAATATTAGACTAAAATTGTATTTAGCTTTCACTTACAATTGTAATTTCACAATTAACAAGTAGAATTTATCAATTTACAAGTCTTATTTTATGTTTTATATAAATTGAAATTGCATTTACCATTTATTTTCAATTATAACTTCAAATTTATGAGTAAAATTTTTTAAGTTACAAGTCCTATCTCGTGTTTTATAAATAGTAGATTAAAATTGTATTAATTATTCACTTAAAACTATAACTTTAGAATTTAGAAGTAAAACTTCTTGATTCACAAGTCTTATTTTATGTTTTATTAAACAATATGCTGAAATTGTATTTACTATTTATTTATAACTATAATTTCAAAATTTATGAGTAAGACTTATTGATATACAAGTCTTATTTTATATTTTATAAACAAGGTTGAAATTGCACTTATCATTCATTTACAATTTTAACTTGACAATTTAAGGTGGAACTTCTGATTTATAAGTCTTATATATTGTGTTTATAATCAGTAGATTGAAATTGTATTTACTATCTACTTATAATTACAAATTCACAATTTATAAGTAAAACTTTTTAATTGATAAGTCTTGTATATTTTGTTTTTTATAATTAGTAAAAATTGTATTTACCATCTACTTACAGCTATAAATTCATAATTTACGAATAGAACTTCTTAATTACAAGCCCTATTTCATATTTTATAATTAGTAGAACTTCTTAATTCACTTACAGATATTCAAATTTTTTGCAAACTAACATATCTCTTTTCCACTATCTTGTACCTAGTAACTTTATGAGAAGTCTAAATATTGGATAATGAAAATTAAAATTTAAAATAATAAAAACTTAAATTGAGTAATTAAATCTTATCAGTTGATTCAAATAAAGCCTTTAGCATATAAAATAAGTAAAAGAACAAAGAGAAGTAATGTCGATCACAATTGATTACAGTGATGATAGTGAAAGAACATGAATTTTTCCTTAACATACAATTCCACGAAGGGAGCAAGCAATATGCAGAGTGATGGAGGAGAAGAATGTACACAGAAGAGTGATACAGAGCAAGTGATCGTGTGGTGGATTGATAAAGAGAGCAAGCTTACTATTTAATTTTGGTAGAGGAGCATCTTTGTCATTATAACTTAATAAATAAGGATAATATTACTTTTCATCCCAACTTTAAATTACATTCACGTTCCCAACGACTTGCCCGTAACTTTTGAATTTGCATGACTTATTTTAAAATTAATTATTTCCATGAGATATATATGTAAATTTTTGTATTTCTTTAATCTTATGTATAGACTAAGTATACTTATGGTAAAGTAGGTGATATCTACATTTTTATCAACCTCTACCTTTTTGTGTAGGGGTGGTGGATGATGAAAAATGCTCTCTGGTTAGGTTAGTTTTATTTTATTGCACAATGTGCTTAGTTTCTCTTTGTAATTAAAAAAAAAGATTACTAATATTATATTCCTTAACTTTCTTTTCCCAACTATTTTAAATACTATTTTCCAACACTCAAAACTCTTCACTCCCCAATCCCTTTAGAGTTATTGCAAACTTATTTACTGTAAACTAATTTTCTTTTATTAATTGATATTTTATTTGAAAAAATGCTTTTCACTAATCAATCATTGTATTATATTCCTTAACTCTCTTTTGTTCTATGCTAGTATTTCTAAAAAAATTGATATTTAGTTTGTTTCAATCAATTACTCAACACTCTATTTAAAAATATAAGATATTTTTAATTGAATTTTACTCTTAATAAAGTTGTTAATTGTTTAAAATTAACATCTTTCCATTTTTTACCTTTAATAGAGTGCTTCACTTTACAATAAATATAAATTAATTTATTTATTATAAGAACTTTTTAAAAAAAATGCATTAATTATACTTTTTAAAAATACTTTATATGTTTTGAATGGAGGGAGTACTTCATCTTTTAGGTTTGGTGAGTGATTTAAATACACTCACTCAATGAATATTTTAATTATAGTTATTAGATTTTATCAATTCTTGAAAATTATGAAGATATATTTCTTTTCAAAATTCAAAATAATTATCACAATCATAACATTCTTTATGTATATTATCCCATCCAATAATTTGAAATTTGGTACTTTCTAGATATTATATGAAAATAAATCTTTAACAACTACTCGATTAAATCAAAAAGGTTATTGTTGTATCATGTGAAACACTTATGAAACAAATGGCCTTGAGTTCTTTATAAAGTTGATAATTTAAGCTAGCTCAAATATGTCTAAAAGAAATTAAGGCTGGGCTTGATTATATAAAATTTTTAAAAAAAAGTAAGATACTTTAAATTCGATTCAAATAAGTCCAACTCAAATTGAACTTGACTTGAATAAGCCCGATCCTTAGAATTGCTAACTGTATATGTATGTATAGTTAGTAATTTAGTCAAGCCACATGGACAACTAGCTCGAATCTGGATAGAAAAGTTTAAAACCGTACTTGATTATATGAGCTTTTTTAAAGAGTAAGATACATTAAACTCGATTCCAATAAACCCAACTGGCCTAAAATTGCAGAGGATCCATAATTCAGTCTTAGTAACTCTTCCCCATCTTCAAAGATGTGCTCTGCAGCCCCAGCCTCATTGATAAGTACTCTCTCCAGTCCCTTATATTAGATAACATTTTCGGCAAATCAAGAAAAATGGTTGGAATTTTTTTATTCAAAAACATCAAATATTTGAATTATACCCTTTTAATTAGATTTTTTTTATACTTTGTGCAACCTCATAATACATTGGCTCAAGAACTGTTAAATTTATAGGAGTAAAAATTAAACATTATTTATTATTCTAACTATATACCTTATAATTTAGACTAGCTTTTATACTTGAAAGAGACAAGGAACCAAATAGAGTAACTTGTAAATATTTTCATAAGTTTTCATTTAAACTTTGATGTCTATCTCAGTGACGCCTCATGGCTGAATCCTTGGTTGTTGTGGAAGATGTGAGCGTGGCTCAGTGTTGATGGTCTCTATGAAAATGGACTGTGAGATTCTTCTTTGAATGTTAACAGGTAAATTCAATTTTGATTATGATTGGAAATGTTATTGAATTGTGCAAAATATTATGTAGCTAAAGAATCATGTAACGACGTTTGTTTCTCCCTAGTGGCTCGCTAAGGTAGTAAAGCTGCTAATTTTTTAATAGTGATAGGCTCTAAGAAATTGTGTCCAATGAGATGATTTTTTATGGCTACATCTTTTTGTCTAGGTTGTTACTTGCTGATTTGGAAGCTACTAATTTTTATTTTGTTTTGCTGGTTCCCCTCGTGATAAAGAGGGTATTGATTAATACTCTATTCGTTTAAAAATATAAGATATTTTTTAAGGAGTTGGATGTTCAAAAATATAAGATATTTTTAGTTTTTTAAAGTGTAATCATTACCTTTTTTTTAGTGCCCATATTGATTAATGATTTTATATTTATTGTAGGATCTTTTATAGAAATAAATATGAAAAAGATAAAATTAGTTAAAAAGTAGATAATTACTTTATTAAAGAGTTAAATTCAGTTAAAAATACTTTATATTTTG